TTCAGATAGGGAAAATCTCCACCATAAAAGAAGACCTTTAAATGGTAATAACAGGAGCAGGCGGGGCTGACACTTAACCAGGAGTGAGGGGCACACTCAGGACTCACTGTTTACATGTGGAACAATACACCATATCAGGGATTGACACAGTTACAAAGGCACTACAGCCTAAAAACCGACCGGCCACTCCCTATTCTATTAATAAACTGGGTTTCACATGATAGAAACAACCCCGTATCTGTAACAATTCTATCAGAGGCGAAAAACAATGTGATACAACATGTTTGCTATTCTAAAAAGATTTCCCATCATCAGTAGATTAGTTTAGTGATCTGAGGGAATTATCTTCTAATCATCTGAGTCATTATTGACAGACCTTCAACAGAATCACTGTAGAGGGCATCAATAATGTAGGGCTCATTCATTATGTCACTGACTCACTGATCAGACAGTAACCATGCAGTATCATTTAAACGTGTCCCGCTGTCTTACTGTCAGGAAGTTTCTAGTAAAGTGCCGTCCTGTTGTTGGTTAGCCTACCTCATGCTCTGAATTCTCTTGTCCTCCACTCTTGCCCACTTTGCCAGACTTAGGAGTCTCCTGCAAGAAAAAAAAAAGTTCAAAGTACTGAAGTCAACTGGGCATTGCCAGAAAAGTAGGTTGACAACATCAGTGAGCAGTGTATCAATGAATGCCGCCGTGCAGGAATCCTTGCTAAATATAGCCTGCCTGCCCTCCCAGTCTCTGTTTGAATACACTGGCAGGTCTGCTGCTAGCTAGAAAACGGTACTTCAGAGTCAATAGCATTCACACGACCCGGGCTTTCAGCTTAAAAACGATACAAAGTGCTTACAGTTACACTTAGAAACACACACACAATGTCCGGGAAAACGTGTGTATTTAAAGTACACTGGCTTATCTCACTTCTGCACACGCTTTATTTAAATAAACGCTAACATGTTGGCAGGACAGCGGCTAGCTGGTGGTTGCTGCTGGTTGGCTAACGTTAGTGTGATGGGACACTGCGCTGATAGCGGTGTCTTCTTCTGAGGCCGGTTTATCAATACATACACTTAAAATGCACCTCATGCAAACTTTATTTCAAATCGTCATAACCTCTTCGGCAAATTTCTTAAAAACTCACCTTGTCTTTTTTGGTTTTATTCGGCATTGTGTAACCGTAGCCGCCCTTGCTCCCGTCTCGGATACTCCACAATCAAAACCTTGACAACTCTCAGGGCACCACACCGTAAGGCGGTTCAGCCCGTCCTCGGCCTGTGATTGGCTGCTGTCGGTCAGCTGACTGCAACGGCTCAGACTGACACGCTATTACGGCCTCATGATGACAGCTGCAGGCGTTGTTTGTGACATGGTGGGCCGCTCGTCATCCTTCAGATCCCATGATTCCGATACATTATTGTTGTTTTCGCTCATTTGCTCTCAGATATTTGAGTTGTGTGTGGGGAAATAGTCAAATTATAACTCCAAAGTTAAAAAGTGAACGTTGTAAAATATAATAATTTATTTTTTCTGTTACTGAATATCCCTCACATTCTTCTGAAGCTGGTTAAGTTAGTCTACTAACTTTACTGTGACAATACTTTATATAATTTCCAGTCTTCTTTACCTAACTTCTATTTTCCTCTGGCTGGTATACACCACTATGCCTCACAGTTTTCTAGAATATTTGACCAGCTTCATTTCAATGCAGCAGCAGTCACCCTTAGTGTTGCATTACTGCCATCTACTGGACTTTTACTGTCACTTACTTTGTCTGTTTTTCTCCCTGAATTGCACACATCAATTCCAATTTTCCCCCCAAAAAATAAAATTTTCTTTGTCTGTCTATAGGTAATATGCCAAAATGTCACACTGTCATTTTAAGGGACTAATAGAACAGAACTGAATAGAACAGAGCTATTATTGATGTTATTAGTATTTTTCCTGCTATGACAAAGCCAAAATGCCTGCTGTGAAAAGGTCCTATGTATATGAAGTGACTGCAGCTCTTTCTTGTAATGAATTCATTTCCTGTCTCTGCACCAGTGTCAGTGTATTGGCTTCAGATACTATTGTCTAGCCTGTCTGAACAATCTAGTGGGTGATTGTGACACAATGTCCTTGGAAGAATCAATTCATCTTATCTTTAATCAGTTACATATTACTATGTCCCAAAGGCTACCAAATATTCACATCACTATAGCTGCAGCTTGACAAATGTGTCAGTATTGTAATATTTGCTTATCAACCACAGTTCATGTCCTTGAATAAGTCTTTGCAATCCTGTCCTATGCTAGGTATTTGTGGAGTCAGCCACGGAGTCCCTGCCTGGTCAATGATACATGCACATGCCACAATTCACTTGCAGTAGAGCTAGACTAGTTGTCTTTACACCCCCTCCATGGCAGTTTGATTATCAGAGAGACAGTAAGGATGAACAAAACTTGACTTGTTAACAGGATAAATCTTTATTTATGGGTCCCACCCGTTTCAAGTACCAGTATGAATTTTGATATATATACAGTTAAAGTAAAAACACTCAAAGAACATTGATCATCAATCAATAAAAAAAACAAACACATTAAATAAAACTCAAGATACAAAAAGTGTCAACTTTTAAAATAAAGTTCTAAAAGGAATGAATCTGAACTGCATATGGTCCATGCCATATGAGGGGGAAAATAAAGTGAACTTGGTCAAAAAGGGGTTGAGGGAGGGACACTTCGGGTTCATTTACAACATTAAACTTTAAATTTTTTACAACACTACTTCTGAACGCTAGCAGGCAACAGAACCAGGCCTAGTCCACCTCCTCCATCCTGGATGTGTCGTCATCGTCTCCTTCAAGAGGGGGCATGTCCTCTGTGGGGGCAGAGGTGACATCATCTGGTGTCAGATCATCTTCATCAATACCTAAAAGACAAAGAAGGAGGCAGATTAAGAGTCAGTGAAAGTCAGGTTATTGTTTATTTAAAATCCCTTTATTGGCAGACGTTTGGCGCAGTGAACCGAAATAATTCATAGCTCATAGATTTGCAAGGAGCAAAGTTAAGAAAGAGCATTAAAGATTTACATTGGATCAACAAAGATACTCACCAAGACCCAGCTTGATCATTCTGTAGATGCGATTAGAGTGAGTCTGGGGGTCGTCCAAGGTGAATCCTGAGGAGAGCAGGGCAGTCTCAAAGAGCAGGATGACCAGATCCTTCACAGACTTGTCATTCTTATCGGCCTCGGCCTTTTGCCTCAGGGTCTCCACAATGGGGTGGTCAGGGTTGATCTCAAGGTGCTTTTTAGCTGCCATGTAGCCCATGGTGGAGTTGTCCCTCAGAGCCTGAGCCTTCATGATCCTCTCCATGTTGGCCGTCCAGCCGTAGGTGCTGGTGACGATGCAGCAGGGGGAGGAGACCAGGCGGTTGGATACCGTAACCTGCGGAGGTCACAAGAATTAATTTTCATCCTTATTAACGCAACAGTAGATTATACACAATATAGAGTCATACAACACCTCATGGGGTGTTTTAATGCCGTTTGACTTCTGCTCACCTTCTCCACCTTCTTCTCCAAGATGTCCTTCATGATCTTGCACAGGTTCTCGAACTGAGCCTTCTTCTCCTCCTGCTTCTTCTTCTCGTCGTCGTCCTCGGGCAGCTCCAGGCCTTCCTTGGTCACTGATACCAGGTTCTTGCCCTCAAACTCCTTCAGCTGCTGGACACAGTACTCATCGATGGGCTCGATCATGTAAATGACCTCAAGGCCGGCTTTGCGAAGGCGCTCCACGAAGGCAGAGTTAGCCACCTGGTCTTTGGTCTCACCTGAAATATAGGCATTGTAATGTGGTCACACGTTTACATAAAATCACGTTAATTAACTCCGTTCGCTTAATTTTAAATAGCTTTTTAATGTACATTAACAGCCCATAGATGGAGAGCATCCTCACCAGTGATGTAGTAGATGTGTTTCTGGTTGTCTTTCATGCGTGTAACATAGTCCTTCAGGGAAACCACCTCGTCTCCAGAAGCTGAGGTGTAGTAGCGCAGCAGCTCAGACAGTTTCTTCCTGTTTTGTGAATCCTCGTGGATGCCAAGCTGAAAGACAGAGAAAACTTAATGTCAGTAACACTCAGTTTAAAAGAAAGTTGCATCAGTAGACAACTGAGTTGACATTAAATTCTCACAAAAATTACATTATCGTTTCATTAACCGTACCAGTGTTAATGTAAAAACACTGATATTGTCTGGTCTATAAATTGTAACCACTGATAATCAGAGTGCCTCAGTTTAAACAGAAGATGGCAGTAAGGAGCTCAAAACAAGACTGAAAGCAGCTTTACAGTCGGGCAATATGGCCAACGGACAGATGGTTACTGTGTAAAAGGTCAGAGGAACAAAGGGTTATCATTAACTAAAACGTTGCACTGAAGCAAAAGCAAGCTCCATCCTGCTAACATAGAATAGACAACATTTTAACATGGTAGCAAACCAAGGCACAAGGTTTTAATGCAAGGTAGCTGCCATATGTTTGAGTGTGACAAGACCAGGGAAACAGCTTACACGGTGCAAAGTGAGGACACTGACCTTGATGTTCTTTGAGAACTGCTCGTAGTACTTTTTGTAGTTGTCCTTGTCCTCGGCGAGTTCAGTGAAGAGTTCCAGGCACTTCTTGACCAGGTTCTTGCGGATGACCTTCAGGATCTTGCTCTGCTGGAGCATCTCTCTGGAGATGTTCAGGGGCAGATCCTCAGAGTCCACCACACCCTTGATGAAGTCTAACAGGGAGGATAAAGACAGCCTGGTGAGCAATATATTAAAATTTCCAAGATTATATATTAGGATTATTTGATTTAGGAACCAAATGTATAAGCTAGTAGTTCCACAGTTGGGTTAATACTCACTGAGGTATTCGGGGATGAGCTCGTCGCAGTTGTCCATGATGAAGACCCTGCGCACGTACAGCTTGATGTTGTTCTTCTTCTTCTTGTTCTCGAAGAGGTCGAAGGGAGCGCGTCGAGGCACAAAGAGCAGGGCGCGGAATTCCAGCTGACCCTCTACTGAAAAGTGCTGTGGAAAAAATAGTGTATTAGGTCCGTTATAGGCTCAGTTTTCAAATGTAGTCATCTTACTAGTATTAGATAAGTCTAATATGGGCAAACTGTAAACTAGGAGACCTACCTTGACAGCCAGGTGGTCCTCCCAGTCGTTGGTGAGGCTCTTGTAGAACTCTCCATACTCCTCATTGGTGATGTCGTCGGGGTTACGGGTCCACAGGGGTTTGGTCTTGTTCAGCTCCTCCTGGTCAATGTACTTCTCCTTGATCTTCTTCTTCTTCTTCTTTTTGTCACAAGACTTGTCGTGGTCGTGGTCGTGCTCGTCGTCGGACCCAACATCCTCTATCTCGGGCTTGTCCTCGTCTTTCTCCTCGTCTTCATCCTTGTCTTTCTCCTTCTCCTCCTCCTCGGCCTCGTCGTCACTCACCTCCTTGTCGCGCTCTTTCTCAACCTGAATTAAAAAAACATGGCCGTGATTTTTGGATTAGTTCAATGACCCAGGTTTAACTTGCGTAAATTAGGTGGGAAATGTATTAAGATCATTTAAATGGCACTTACAAAGAGTGTGATGGGATAGCCAATGAACTGGGAGTGCTTCTTCACAATCTCTTTGATTCTTCGCTCCTCAATGTATTCTATCTGGTCTTCTTTCAAGTGTAGGATCACCTTGGTGCCACGCCCCATGGGCTCAGCTATGTGGGGAAAAGATGGGTCAGTGCAATTTACAGATAACCCTGGGCACCTCCTGTAGGTACCCCTACCAATAAAACCAAACTGTAAAGTGCAACAAAGTCATAGCTTTACATTACTTACAGTTGTCCACTTTAACTGTGAATGAGCCTCCAGCAGAGGATTCCCAGGCGTACTGCTCGTCATCGTTGTGTTTGGTTATGACCGTCACCTTCTCAGCCACCAGGTAGGCAGAGTAGAAACCCACACCAAACTGACCAATCATGGAGATGTCAGCTCCAGCCTGCAGAGCCTCCATGAAAGCCTTGGTGCCAGACTTGGCGATTGTGCCCAGATTGTTGATCAGGTCGGCCTTGGTCATGCCGATACCTGTGTCAATCAGGGTTAGGGTGCGTTCCTCTTTGTTAGGAATGACTTCGATTTTGAGGTCCTTG